TGAAAAAAATGCTACATTAGCACTTTTTTTTCCTTTTCCAGATTGAAAGTCATTCTGTTACTTTAGAAACATAAAATATGACTATGGACAATTTTACTTGGCATGAAATTATCACAACTAGCATATTAAAAATATAGTGTATCCAAACAATTATTACAAACAGAATTTACTTTTTAAATAATATTTATTTGTAATTGTAACAAATGGAGCAACGATCTCCTGAACTGTTTACTAGTTTATGTGGAACAGATTAAAAAAACCTCCACAAAACAATTTTTAAAAATCCAGAAGTAACTATTATTCATATTTGCTCTCCACAGTATTAAATAAAAATAAAAGCCCCATTCTCATAAAAAGAATTGAAGAGGGGGGAAGTGTATAGAAGGGAGTGTGGGGCTACGTTTCAATGAATGAGCACCTCCTAAAGGAAGACATGCACCTTGTTCTTGCATTGGAGAGTTCAGTTTGTAACCTAGGACTTGCTTGTCCTCAGTGCACAGAAATTACATTAATCTGATACCATACATATTTTTTAGAAATGATTTGGAAAATATTTGAACACCTTGTCTTAAAATATTTTATTCACCATGTTAAAATAAAACGTTCCATAATCAATTTTTTTTCTTCTCTTTTTTCAATTTTTCCAATTTTTTGGGGGGGAAAACAGAGCTTCAGGGAAAAAAACCAGAAAAACCCCGAATTCGGTTTCCCCCCGAATTTTTCCAGTTTTTTTTCCCGGGCCTTCACATCTCTAATCGGGGCTCATAGCCATTGGGGGATCTGTTTCTCTCCTGAAATTGTCTAGTCCTCTTTAAAGCTGTCCCAGCTAGTAGCCCCTACCTACTGCATCCCGTGGCCATGGGTTCCGCAGCTGAGGGCTGTACTGGATTGAAGGGATGCTTTCTTCTGTCTGTCCGGAATCTTCTCCCTGTCATCCTAAGTGGGCACCTCCCCCCTGAACCCATCCTAACCTGAGAGGTGAAAAAGAATCCTCTCGCTCTTTTCCTGCCCTCTGAATAATTATTCCCTGGTATCATTCCCCAGCCCACCCCAGTCGTCCTTTTCCTCTCCAACCCGAACCAGTTCTCCTGTGTGGATGTGACTTCCAGTTTTGTTAACTTTCTGGGTCAAAATGTGTCAAAATAAGATTTATTAATTTTTTTAAAAAAATCCAGCTGCCAGAGAGATGGGAGTTTCTGGTTACTGGAAAACCAGAAGTTAGAAAAACATTGTTTAAGACTGGTGCGTGTGGGAGGGGGTTGCTTTTGCTGTTTGGAAGCTGAGGGTTTCCCTGTGAAAGGAGAAGTTGCTGCTCAAACAAGAAAGTAGGATGTCCGATCTGGAGGCAAGGACAACTGCTGTGAGTAAGGGAGCTGGTGGAGTGAGGAGTTGCAGGGAGAGCTGCAAGGGAACCTCCACATGCAGAGGCAGTCAACCTCTGAATCCCAAAGACAGGATGCAACCTCGGGAAGGCCTCGGCTTCTCTGCCCTGGTGTTGGCCCTCCTGAGGAACTGCTTGGCCACCATGTGAGATAGGATGCTGGACTAGACGGACCCTCACTGGTCTAATCCAGCAGGGCTCTTCTGTTATGTTCTCATGGTAAGACTAATGTTAGGAAGGCTCCCCCTTTCAGAGAAGTGGGCTTTTCTCTCTCTCATTGCAAGCACCAGCCGTTTCCATCTTTCACAGAGGTATGGGCAGAAGTATGTGGTATGCAGAAGTGCAAAGAGAGGCAGGTTTGGGGTTAAGGCTGAGCTTCCTGAGGAGCTCTCTTGTTATTTTTTAAGTCAAGGAAGTTTCCATAATCCATAATCTTGTTATTTTTTAAGTCAAGGAAGTTTCTAGTCCTTATTGCTGCAAAGACACAGAACACTGTTGGGCTGTGAACAAGATGCAATGTAATAAGGATAAGTGCCTAGTAACAAAAATGAGGAGCAGGCATACTGGATGGGCGATACACTTCTGAGTAGCAGTTTGTGTGAACAAGATCTTGGGATACAGGTGGACCAAAAGTTAAATATGAGCAGCCAGTGTGATGCGGTGACAAAAATGGCTAATGCAATCTTGGGGTGTATCAACAGAGGCATAACATCCAAATCACAAGATGTCATAGTCCTGCTATACACTGCAGTGGTCAGGCCACACCTGGAGGATTGTGTGCAGTTCTGGAGGCCTCACTTCAAAAGGATGTGGACAGAGTGGAGTGCAGGCAGAGGAGAGTGACGAGGATGATCAGGGGCCTGGAGACCAAGCCCTATGAGGAAAGGCTGAGGGACTTGGGAATGTTCAGTCTGGAGAAGAGGAGGTTGAGGGCACACACAATTGCTCTCTTGAAGTCTTTGAAGGGCTGTCACTTAGAGGAGGGCAGGGAACTTTTCCTGTTGACAACAGAGGAGAGGACTCACAATAATGGGTTTAAATTAAGGGTGGGGAGGTACCGGCTGGATATTAGGAAAAAGTTTTTCACAATAAGAGTTGTTCAGCAATGGAATCAGCTGCCTAGGGCGTTGAGGAGCTCCCCCTCACCGCCTGTCTTTAAGCATGAAAAGACTCCTGGGTGATTCACACCAAGCCTTGGCTCCTCCCCTCTGCCCATGACCTTCTCCATCAGATGTTAACAGTATGGTTTTCCTTTGTGTAGCGACTCGGGAAAACTCATACTGAAATAAATTCTGTTAGTCTTTAATGCACAGCTGGGCTTTTATTTCGGGGTAAGACCTCCACCAGCCAGGCCTTCAGTGCAGCTTCTTGAACCTGCTGGGTTAGGTCAACTTGGTGTGGTACTTAGAGGGTCACAGTAACAACAGATTCAGGTGGGTCGCCATGGTGGCCTGAAGCAATAGAACAAAGTTTAGGGTACCTTAGAGACCAGCACAGTTTAATTCTGGGCATAAGCTTCCGTGCCCACGCGCACTTCTTCAGATGCGTGCACGCAAAAGCTTCTGCCCAGAATGAAACTTTGTTGGTCTTCAAGGTGCCTGACTGGACTCACACTAACAGCAGGGAGACCGGGGTTCCGCAGTGCTCTCCACTCTGCCAGGAAGCTCACACAGTGACCTTGGGCCCAAGCAGTCTCACAGGGCGATTTGAGGATCCAGCAGAGGACGAGAGAGGCGCATATGCCACCTTCATCTCTCCCTGTTGGGATAAAAGGTGGGATAAAATATATATATATATAAATTCACATTTCATTATAAAGTTAAAAACTATAAAAATAAAATAGTGGAGAAAAAACTGAGCAAAATGGAGGAAGCTGACCAATTTATTTATTTATTTGCATTTTTTTACCCCGCCCTCCCCGCGAACGGGCTCAGGGCGGCTCACACAGGGGCACAAGCCCATACATAAAACAATATAAAACAGTAAAAACCATTAAATCACAACAACAGATAAAGTGCTCCATGCAGACAAGATGGTCTCTGAGGATGGTAGCAGTCATTTCCTTAGGTGAAATTGTCCTGTCGATGGTCCAAGCCAGTCCAGCGGCACGGCAACAGTGCCATGGAAATTTATGGCCGTTCTTCCGGGGACCGCTCCCAACCCCGTTGTTTCAGTGGTGGTAGTAGTAGAAGTGGCATATAAAGTGAGACTTTGGGGAGGCTTATCCAGTCCTCGGTGCTTGTGCGCCTCGGCCAAAGAGCATGTCCAGCAGACTCAGGAATCCTGTCTCTCTGCAGGGAAGCCGCGTTCCTTCGCAGTCGAAGTCAGGGCCCTTGTTAAACCTGGGCTTTTAAGTTGGTCCTCCAGCTCAGCCAAAGCCCCCCTCTCTCTCTTCTCTTTTGCAGGATTCTGTGGTGCTGAGACCTTCGATCCAGTTCCAAGGAAAACAAGGGGTGAGTGGATAAAGGGGTCTGGGTAGAAGACTTCATCTGTTCGGTTTTGAGGTTGTTTTTTTTTTTAAAGGGTCACTGGGGGATGGGAGTCTCATGGACCAGGGCTGTATCCAAGCCCCCATAACCACAGCCAATATGACACGGGAGTTATCCACCCTGCATGATGCCGCAGCTTGGAAGGGTGGATCTGCCTGGGGCGATGGGTTCAAAAGCGGTACTTCTCCCACTTAGCAGCAAATGTGTGTGGTTTTTTACTCCTCTTTCCCCCTTCCCTGGTCACATGCCCTCACCCTTGCCTTCCTCACAAGGTGGTTGTGATGGTAAAGTGGGGAAAGGAGAATCATGCACATGATGCAGGAGGTCAGGATGAAAACCCTCGGATTGTGAAATGATTGTATCTCAAGCCATGCTCTACAGTCAGGCCGGCTAGGGGAAGGAAGTGGCCAACAGAAAGGGGTGGGGCTAGAGAACTGGGGGATGAGGGCTAACTAAGTGCACTCACACCCATATTTGCCTTCTCGTCGGGCAGTGGCTCATGAGCCCTGTGTTTGCCGAGCACCCTAAGAGTTGTGCCCTCAGTCCCTAAATACATGACACTGTGCATGTCTGCTTCAGAGCCCTCAAAACCCACCCACCCCCACGTCCTAGATTGGCCCTTGACTTGCACCACTTTGCCCCAAAGCAAGACACGACATGGAATGAAGCCCCGTATCATCCCTGCCTCCATGACCCCCCAGGGTGACTGGGGCCTCGGTAGTTCTGTGACTGCAAGTCTTGCTGGCCCGGCTGAAATCTCTAAAAGCCTAAGTGAGACTTGGAGGGGGGATTCCTGGCATCGATGCCTCAGTTACCCGTCTGCTTTGCCCTTCTCCAAAACTGGGTAGACCATGCAAAGCCAAGTGGTCACGTGTGAATCAGTGTGTGTTTGTGCAACGTGGACTTTGGCTTTTTGGCAAAGAGATTAGAAAAGGGATTCCCTTGAAGGCATTCAGTATTGCCAGATCCGCTTTGTCTTGATCCAGCTGCCTTTAAACCCGGTGGTGTGGCAGCTGAAAGGAATCTGCCCAGTGCAGATAATGAAAACAGGGTGGAGGAGGGCGAGAGAGAAAGATGTGACCACAAATATACCTCTCTCTTGCTCGGTGAGAGCGCTTGCTCACCTGTGTTGAGCGACAAGGGATCGTGGAGACTTGTGAACCCTCCGACATGTGTCTTGATCGCGTCCCCCTAGAGGGTGACCGGTGGTGACAAGCCGAAGGGCTGCTGCGGCAGGCTGTTTGGAGTGCCGAAGGTCCCGGGTTCAGTCTCCAGTTAGAGGATCCCAAGTGCTGAGAAGGACCTTTCTCTGCCTGAGACCCTAGTGAGCCTCTGCTGGTCTGAGGAGACAAGGAGGAGACAGAAGGAACAGAAGTCCAATCCTGAGAACTTGGAGCTGAGTCCCTGCTTGGCACACACAGAGTCCTGGGTTCAAGCCAATGTAAAGGGCTTCCTCTCCTTGTGACCCTGGAAAGGGGAAGAGCCGATGCCAAGCTAGATGAGTGGAGGCTGTTTCCTAGGTGTAGTTCTGGTCGCTGAAAGTGAAACCCCCATGGTCAGAGGCAGTCTGTTGCTCCTTGCCATGTGCTCTCAGGGCCTGTTCTCCCCACCCCGTCCAGCTTTGGAGCATCCAGGGGCATCCGGTTGGGGAGGCAGAGAGAGGCTTAAGTGGACACAGGGGGTGGAACTCACTTTGCTGGTCACCTTGGTCTGGCTCCAAGTGGAGCAGCAGGGGAGAGGCGAGCGGACCCCTGAGGGGGCTACGATCCTCATGAAGGGAGTTTGATGGCTGAGGCAGAGCAAGCTCCTCTGTCCGACTGCTTCCCTTCCGGCCTCTTCCTGCCCCCCTTCTCATAAGGAGGACACCTGGAAAGCTTGTCGGAAGGTGAAAAATAAGTCACCTTTGTTGCTGCATGAGTGCCTTGGAGCTGGCCCACGGAGAGGATGAGGTCCGTAAGGCGTATTAGCTCACCCATGTCTTCCCAATGAAGCCACGTTGACGCTGTGCATTTGAACAAACTTTCTGGGGTGTTATTTTTTTTTAATCCTGTTCAGTTTTTGTGTTGCGTTTAGGTTGGTTTAATCATGACAGCATTTGGGCTGTTTAACAGGAAGACTCGGCTGGTTGGTTGCAGGAGTTCTGTTGGCTGCTTCCAAGACTTAAAGGCCCTGGGGCCGGCTGCAGGCCCGACAGCCCTCTGCCTCCTGTCCGTTGAAAGCCTCCTTGGAGGCTCTGCTGTGTGCCCCCTTGGCTGCCGGAGGAAGGCCAGTGGCCACGTGAGGTGGGGTCTTTCCCACTGTGGTCCCATCCCCGTGTCTTTGCCCAGTGGCAAGTGTGGAGAGTCCTCTGTGCCACGTGGAGGCCTTGCTGACAACGCCCCTTGTGGCTGGTGAGCTCTGAAAAGCTTCTGCCTGTTGTCCGTTTGCTGATCAGTTCTCCCTGCTTGTGGATCTGGTGCGGCTGCAGGTTGCTTTTAAGCATTTTTTGCCAGGTGCTTTTATTGGTTTACCCCCTTGGGGCGAGAGTGTAAGCTGGTGGTGCTCTGGTCTAAATGAACAGGCGATGCGCTGCCTGGTGCTCCTTGGAGGGGAGGGAGGGAGGGTGGCTGGAGATAGACGGGTCTGTTTGTGGCTGTGGCTGGCAGCCACTCCCCATACCTCTCTCCCACCTGCAGTCCTTGGGCTGGCAGATGACAGAGACTGGGCCGGGGACCTTCCGTAAGCCCAGCAGAGCCTCTGCTGGGGGCCTGGAGTGGCCTTAGGCAGAGCTAGGCCCCGGTCCTACAAGAGCGGTCTTTCCCCCTCTGCTTGGCTGCAGCTCTCCAGGGAGGTCCTTCTGACCAATATCCCCTGGAATTAGGGCCGCCGACTGGCCAGGAGGCAAAACGTGCTGTGCCTTTCAGCGTGTGGCAATGAAATGGGCAGCCGAAGCTTTTTGTGGCGTGGCAGTCAATAACGCCTCCCCCCCCCCTTTGAGGAGCAGGACTTTTCCCTCCTTTGTGCTTGAATGTGAGGGGGCCTGACCTGGATCCCGTGGGCGCGCAGAGCAAGGGATGCCTCAGCCCCTTAGGTGAAAAGCCCCACAGTTGCTTTTTGGGCACAGCCAGAGGAAGGTCCTTTCCAATGAGCGAGGCCCTCGGCCTGTCCGGCTCGGGCAGCTGCTCTCTGCAGGGTCTCTGAGATGTCAGGGACTGAACTTGGGGTCTTGTGCGTGCAGAGAGCGTCCTCTGACCTGCATCTTGATTTTGCCAAGTGGTCTTTTGGAAGGGTCCCATCAAAAACACACACGAGTCTCTGTCTTTTCCTTAACTCCCCCTCCCCCCGCCCGGATTGCGTGGCAGGCCTCAACAAGTCTCAGCATAAGGTTGGAGGCGTTATTTTGCCTTGTTATAGCCCTTTCAAGCACACAAAGCACTTTGTGCCTGTTTTCTGGAGGTCCGTCTGATGAGCCACTGCCCCGTGGTCCTGAAGCCGAGAGCACGGCCCTAGCCGGGGGCGGGGGAGCAGTGGCTCAGGCAGAAGCCGAATTGGGCCGTGGGCTGGGGATAGACCGGCTGGGGAGCCCCGGCACTGGGAGGGCTCTCCTCTCCAGCAGACAGGTGTCTCTCCCTCTCTCCTTCCCTCTCTCTCTCTCTTATTAAAAATAACGTTTTAGTTCAGAGATGAATCTTCACCAGGAAACAGGTCAGTTGTTCTCTTACCGGGGTGGCTTCCTCTCGCCAGCTGCTCGAAACTGTACATTAAAAAAAAAAATCTCTGTGGTGTCACCTATTTCCCCCCCGAACAATTGCTTGTAAGAAAGGCAAAAGTTGCAGCTGCGGCCTGGTCTATTTTTCAGAGGTGGTGGCATAAGCAGCAGCTGGGAACTCCTGGAGAGGGCCCCCCCCCCCGCCGCCCTCTGCGAAGCAGCCCAGAGGCCCTCAAGCATCTGGTTGAAAATAATCCCCAGGAGTTCTCAACCAGATCCGCTCCAGTACTGAAACAAACCCGTCTTAACGGTCATGTTAATTGGGGACTCGCAGCCGCAGCGTGACCCCTTTCCTTTCTTGCCTCGCTGGCATTTCACTGGAGGGGACCAGCTTGGGGAGTCTGTCAAAGAAATTCTACAAAAGCGCCAGACCTCAGTCTCTGTCCACCCGAAGCAGGCCCTGCAAGCTTGACCTGGAACTGCCGGCTGCCTTTGCAGGGACACCCCTTGCACATGGGGGGTTAGCTCGTCAGGGGCAAAGGCTCAGTGTTGCATTTGGGAGCGTTAAAGTGTGCCCCACCTCACAGT